AAGGAACAAATATATTAACTGGAATGCCATACTCATTTACAGTTCTTTTGGTCTTTAGACTCAGAGTATGTATTAGTAGTTTTCTAGGAGGACTGCTGTGGGCTTCCCAGGTGGCTCAATGAGTAAAGAATCTACCTGCAACGCAGGAGATGCAGGCAGACAAGAGTTCGATCCCTGGGTTGGGAAGATCCCCTGAAGGAGGGCATGGCAACCCACTCCAGTATTCTTAAACCTGCAGAATCCCATGAACAGAGGAGCCTGGTAGGCTACAGCCCTTGGGGTTGTAAGGTGTCAGACATGACTGAAGGCGACTTAGCATGCATGTACCCCGCACTACTATAGGGCTTCCCTGGTGGCTCAGTCAGTCAATCAGTTCAGTTGCTCAATTGTTTCCGACTCTTTGAGTCCCTATGGACTGCAGTACGCCAAGCTTCCCTGTCCATCACCAACTCCCGGAGCTGACTCAAACTCATGTCCATCAAGTTGGTGATGCTACCCAACCATCTCATCCTCTGTCGTTCCCTTCTCCTCCCACCTTCAGTCTTTCCCAGCATCAGGGTCTTTTCCAATGACTCAGTTCTTCACTTCAGGTGGCCAAAGTATTGGAGCTTCAGCATCAGTCCTTCTAATGAATATTGAGTACTGATTTCCTTTAGAATTGACTGGTTTGCAGTCCGAGAGACTCTGAAGAGTCTTCTCCAGCACCACAGTTGAAAAGCATCACTTCTTCAGCACTCAGCTTTCTTTATAGTCTAACTCTCATGTCTATACATGACTACTGGAAAAACCATAGCTTTGACTAGACGGGCATTTGTTGGTAAAGTAATGTCTCTGCTTTTTAACATGCAGTCTAGGTTGGTCATAATTTTTCTTCCAAGGAGCAAGTGTCTTTTAATTTCATGGCTGCAGTCACCATCTGCAGTGATTTTGGAGCCCCGAAAACTAAAGTTTCTCACTGTTTCCATTGTTTCCCCATCTATTTGCCATGATGTGATGGGACCGGATCTTATGATCTTAGTTTTCTGAATGTTGAATTTTAAGCCAGCTTTTTCGCTCTCCTCTTTCACTTTCATTAAGAGGCTCTTTAGTTCTTTTTCACTTTCTGCCATAAGGGTGGTGTCATCTGCATATCTTAGATTATTGATATTTCTCCCAGCAATCCTGATTCCAGCTTGTCTTCCATCCAGCCCAGCGTTTCTCATGATGTACTCTGAATATAAGTTAAATAAGCAGGGTGACATTATATAGCCTTGACGTACTCCTTTCCCGATTTGGAACCAGTCTATTTTTCCATGTCCAATTCTAACTGTTTCTTGTTGACCTGCATACAGATTTCTTAGGGGGCAGGTCAGGTGGTCTGGTATTCCCATCTCTTTCAGAATTTTCCACAGTTTGTTGTGATCCACACAGTCAAAGGCTTTGGCAAAGTCAGTGAAGCAGATGTTTTTCTGGAACTCTCTTGCTTTTTCAATTATCTAGGGGATGTTAGCAGTTCAATATCTGGTTCCTCTGCCTTTTCTACATCCAGCTTGAACATCTGGAAGTTCATGGTTCATGTACTGTTGAAGCCTTGCTTGAAGAATTTTGAGCATTACTTTGCTAGCATGTGAGATTAGTGCAATTGTGTGGTAGTTTGAACATTCTTTGGCATTGCCTTTCCTAGTGATTGGAATGAAAACTGACCTTTTCCAGTCCTGTGGCCACTGCTGAGTCTTCCAAATTCGCTCGCATGTTGAGTGCAGCATTTTCACAGCATCATCTTTCAGGATTTGAAATAGCTCAACTGGAATTCCATCATCTCCACTAGCTTTGTTTGTAGTGATGCTTTCTAAGGCCCACTTGCCTTCTCATTCCAGGATGTCTGGTTCTAGGTGAGTGATCACACCATTGTGATCAGACCTGGTGGCTCAGTGGTAAAGAATTCACCCGCCAATGCAGGAGATCCCGGTTCCATTCCTGGGTTTGAAAGATCACCCGGAGAAGGAAATAGCAGCACATTCCAGTGTTCTTGCCTGGAAAATCCCATGGGTAGAGGAGCCTGGTAAGCTGCAGTCTATGGGATCACAGAGTCAGACATGACTTAGTGACTAAAACAACAACAGCAAGGACTACTGTAACAGATTAACACACAGTTGCTCGCTTAAAACAGTAGAAATTTGTTCTTTCAAAATTTGGTGGCCAGAAGTCTGAAATCAAGGTGTTGGATGGCCACATTCCCTCCAGTGGCTTTGGGAGAGTTGTTTCTTGCCTTTTCTAGCCTGTGGTGACGCTAGGCATTCCTTGGCATGTGGCTGTGAGACTGCAGTCTCTGCTTCCCTCTTCTCCTCTTTGTGTCTTCTCTTCTTTCTGAGGATAGATATAAGGATACTTGAAGATACTTGTTCTCAGATTTAGGACTGACCCAGACAATCCGGAGATTCTTAATTATGTCTGAAAATGTTATTTTTCCAAATAAGGTCCATTCACAGGTTTCAGCTATTAGGATATAGGCATATTTTTTGGTGGGGCACCATTCAACCCACTACAGGGTTTATAGTTTCTTGGGTTATTATCCTCTTTTTGTCTTTTTGGTATATTTGTTATTCATTTGAAATGCAGTGGTGTTCACTTGTTTCTGTTTATTTTGTTTCAGATTTCTTCCATCATTATTTTTTTTTGAATATGTAAAACATTAACCACAGTGTCAATAATCAAGAAGTTAATAGCATTACAAATTATGGTGAGTGTTATCAAGGAAATGGACAGGTACTCTGGTCGAGAAGAATGAAGCGAGCAATATTCACTTAGCTAGAGGGCCAGACAGTACTTACTTGTATAAGTGGCATGTAAAGTGAGATTGAAAGAGTGAGGAGAAGTCAGTCATGTAGAAGCAGAAAAAGAGCTTTTTAGCAAACAGTAAAGCATGTGTAAAGGCCCTGATGTGGGGAAAGAGCGTCATGTATCAGGAAATGAAAGACCAGTGAGGTGTAGTGAGTTTTGGCAAGAAGGAGCACAAAGTAAGTGAAGTTGTAAAGAAAGCTGGGGTGGAAAATGTCAGTTTTTGTACACTATATAAAGAGGTTGAAAAGCCAGTGGAGGATAAAAAGCAGTGGCATTTTAAAAAACATATTTTTAAAGGACTATATTGATTGCTTTGTAGAGCACATTAGGCAAGAGTAAAAGTAGAGAGATTAGTAACAGGTCTATCATACTGTATAATAACTGATGCAGAGACATATTGGTTCATCTAAGAGTTGTAGTAGTGGAAAAGGAAAAAAGTGGATAAGTTTGAGATGTGTTTGGGGCTGAACTGACAAGACTAGCTAGTGGATTGGATCTGGGTGTATAGAGAGAGGAGGGTTTAGGGGTTACGGTTATTGGAATATTTAAGGATTACTTCCAAGTTTGTGGCTTCCCTGGTGGCTCAGATGGTAAAGAATCTGTTTGCAATGCAGGAAACCTGGGTTTGATCCCTGGATCGGGAAGATCCTCTGGAGAAGGAAGTGGCAACCCTCTCCAGTATTCTTGCCTGGAGAATTCTGTAGACAGAGGAGCCTGGTGGGCTACAGTCCATGGGGTGGCAAAGAGTCGGACACGACTGAGTAACTAACACTTTCTTTCCAAGTTTGTAGCTTTAGCAACTAGGAAAGAAGTTTATTGCAAATGAAGTGGGCAGTAAGATTCAAGATTCCGCTCAATGTTATGTAACAGCCTGGATGAGAGGGGATTTTAGGGGAGAATGGATATATGTATATGTATGGCTGGCTGGATCCCTTTGCTATTCACCTGAAACTATCACAACATTGTTAACCAGCTCTACTCCAATATAAAAGAAAAAGTTTTTTTAAAAAAAGAATCAAGATTACTCTGTTGAACCTGTTATGTTTGAAATGCCTATTACATGCAAATGGAAATGTCAAAGTTGATAGTTGACTATATTCAGCTCAGGAAGGGAAAGTGGAATCTCAAACTTTCTGTCTAGTCCCTCCAGGCACTTCTTCAGTCCGTTCTTTCCTACTGCAGGAAGAGATCCCGATCTCTGGTCGCTATCTGTGCCTTGTTAGCAGGAGCAGAAAGTCAAGAGTTCACCAGATATGATTGAGCCGTTGCGGGCAGCTTGGGCTAGAGATGATCTCCAGGCCTATGTGTGGGTACTCCAGTTCCAATTCAGTCTTTTCAGAGAGCTACAGTTATTTTCCTTCTAAGTCACTTAGATATGCACATTTCACTCCTTTGAGTTTAGCTTTGTTTTGGACCCTTTCAGAATAAGAGGCCTTGCTATTATTACACTAAAAAGTATTAGGCTCTTTTCTGCCCCGTTTGAACCTGCATTATTGTATGAGACCACTCTAACTTACTTTGCTACCTAGGAGGGAAATGTGTGAGTGCGTGTATGTGTGTTTTGTGTTTGAAATATATATTCTGTGATGGATTTTGTAAGTATGTCAGCTTTTATACCAATATCACATTGTTTTATTTACAGTGTTTTTATATCATGCTCCATGCTTAGTTAGGGCTAATCTTCCTGAATCATTTTAAAGATGCTTTTTCTTTTCTCACATACACATTTTAAAGAAGTGGAAATTCCCCTCCCCCCCCATCCTCTTGCTTTTGTCTTGTTTATCTGTAATAATTCCTATTCTCCTTAATTCTTTCCTACTGACTTTTTCCCATTGTCTTTCTTATTGTGAATTTTCTTTTTACTTCTTTCCTAAAAAGAAGCTGTCATTTTCCCCTCTCTTTCCTTTCTTTCTAAGCATCTGTTGTATATAAGCACTGTACTGATTCCTGGGGAGAATGGGTTACATGGTGAATTAAAATTAAAATAAACAAAATGAAATAAACAAAGCATATTATGAAATAAAACAAATAATATTAGTTTGTAATTAAAATAATGTGACTCGGAGAGGACTAAAAAGTTTTACTTTTAAGCACAATATGTCAACTTTTGGTCAGTTTGTTTATTTTACATTTTTTAAGGATTTTTTTTCCTTTCTTTCTTTTTTTTTTTTTTTTCCAAGGGCCACACAGCAATGCTTCATACTGGATCATGGCATCCCAAAATAAAGGGAGAATTTATGACTTGCTCAAATGATGCGTGAGTATTGTGGATGATTCATCTGATACATTCTTGTATTTCAGTATTTACTTTAACATTTATATTGTAGCAGTTTTGCCAGTAAAGTAAGAGATAGGATATTAAGAATCCTTATGTTTATATATTCTTGTTCTCAACTTTACCTTGAATTCAGCTGACATGGAAGGTTTGCTTAAATGAATGTGAAAGCTGTGGAAATGAGAGCTGGTTGAATCCCAGTAGAGTTTAGGGAGCACAGTGGACCGATCGATTGATGCTGCTGAGTGGACTCAGAGGACTCAACGTTTGCTACTTTTTATAGTAAAGGCTGATTTCCATCTGAATGTAATAGCTTACATCAATTTGTTGCTTAAATGATGGTTTTTGGTAGTAATAACTGAAAAAATTGATTAAATGGTTATTAAGATTCTTTTGAATTATATTTCTTGGCTTAGGATTCAAGAATATTACAGGGAATATTTGAACAGCTTTTTCCTATATTGTTACATTGTATGGTTCATTTTTGGTATTGAGTAATTTACAAGAATGAGTTATTTGTAACACTACAGAGAAAATTGCAGTGAAAAAATCTTAAAAATAAAAACATTTATATGGTGTTATTTAGGTGAAACACTATTATATTTTAGATAAAAAAGAATGTCTTTGCTTTTAGGCTGTTTTGTTTTTCATCCTTTTGTTTTTTGATATTTGTAATTTACGTCATTGCCTTTCACAACTGCTATTCATATTCTCTGATATTTTATGTTTCTTAGAATTAATCTTTAAAATAATAGACAAAAGATATAATTTCACATTCATTATGCAGTTTAGAAAATAAGTTGATCTAAAAGGAACTAAAAATTGAGAATATACAGAATATGACTGAAACAGGATAGTACATTTGGTTAAACTTTATGGTAAATAGAATTATATAGTTATTTCCTTTTATCTTTATCTTATTATCTTTCCAAATACTTAAATTATGTGTGTTTATAGCCATATTCTTTACTTAGCCTTAGGAAAACAAATTTAGCAGCTAATCTGAATTATTAATAGTGTTCCATGGTCCAGTAAGGTTTATCCTAGGAATCCAAGGATATTTTACAATTAGGAAATTTTACCATTAAGAAATTTTCAATATAATTCAATATTTAAAAAATTAGAGATGAAGAATCATATGATTTTGTTACATAATAAAATTGAGATTCGATAGGCTTTAGTAATCTTTGCCAGTAAAAGTTCTAGGAATAGGAAGAAATTACTGAAGACTGATAAAAGCTGTTTACCAAAATTTAAAGTAAATATTTTATTATACATTGGCGTACTGTTTGCATTTAAATAGGAAGCAGGACAGAGATTCCTATAACTATTTAGAGACTTTATACAGTATAGTAAGAAAAAATATGTAGATTGATGTTAATGTTGGGAGAAAGTAAAAAACACAGAGGATCTAAACTACTCTGGTTAAAAACTTGAGCTGAATAAAAGCCATTGGAAAAACAGAAAACATCTTGTTCTCAGAACTATTAAGGATGATGCTGAATGGTGACTGTAATAGTTGCTAACACAATAACTTTTATGAGGGCTACAGAAGCTTTCCCCAAATGGATTTTGAGTATACATAAATTAGTCGTCTGAAGAAAGACATCCACGATCAAAAAAGTTTGAGAAACTTTGAGTGTTACATGTTTTGAGGCCAGCAATTGCAATTCACAGTAAACCTTTAAATGGTTTTGAATAGGGTGTAAAGAAACCTGAAATCTATTTAACTTTGTTTTATCCTCTACATGGTTTGGGTAAAGTTCTAGGGCATGACGTTATTATACTGGGTGTAAAATGTAGTTTGTCTCATTCTTTGGAAGAACAAGTCTTTCATCCCCTGCCCAAGTCACTGACTTACCGGTATATTTTACATTTGAAAATGTGCTCCGATTTCTTTTTACACTGTACAAATTGGGCTTTCTTTGTCAAAAAGGCTGTATGAAAGATAAATGGGCTTTAACCTTAGGGACCCTCCCCCTCCAGTTATACAGATTCTTTACTACTTTTTAGAGAAACCTGTCACTAATACATTCAGATGGTCTGCAGTTTGATTTGCTTCTCCTTGGCCCTTGAGGATAGTAATTAGCAATGGACTTAGCCGTAGGAGATCGGTCCGGATACTTAGATCAGTCAACAGATATGGTGTGTGCACTGTGTCAGGCACCCTGTGTGGCCCGGGCCTCTGCCTTCACAGGACTTACATTCAGGTGGAGGTGAGTGCTGGGAGGTAGACATGGTATAGAGATGCTAGTCAGTTAATATTGTTTTACATAGTAATAACTGTGAAGAATAAAGTAAAATAAAGCAAAAGGATAGAGAATAGAGGGGTGTAAAATAAGTGGACAAAGCCTTGGAAGAGGTGATATTTTAGTTGAGATACTGTACACATAAGGCATCCTGAGGGAAAAGAGCTTTCCAGGCCAAAATAGCAGCATATTTCAAGACCTTAAGAAGAGAATGGAATACAGCGTATTTGGGGGACAGAAAGTGCAGTTGGACTGACGTTTTGTTGGTTGTTAGGAAAGGTGAGAATGATATGAATTGAGTTTGGAGAAGAAGGCAGAGTCTACACCATATAAGGTGTTGAGGCTAAGGTATAATGGGCTAATATTTTAATGTAGTCACAAGGCAAGTCATCGAAGAATATGAGATCTGTACCATAACTTTATTGAAAGTCAAAATCAGTAGGAATGTTTTAACGCCAGGCTGCTCTGTCAGTGGGATTTTCCTGGCAAGAATACTAAAGTGGGTTGCCATGATTTCCTTCAGGGATCTTCCCGACCCAGGGAGCGAACCTGTGACTCTTGCTTCTGCTACACTGCAAGCAGATTCTTTACCTCTGAGCTACCGGGGAAGCCCCATATTGTGAGCAGGACAAAGAGATAAAATATCAACTGCACATCTTTCAAGCTTCACTCCCTTTTATTAAGGATTATTTAGGATTTAAACTAGGATCATTTCATCAGACTTCACTGAGCTCATATGAGTAATATCCTCTTCTCCTCCCTTTCCCCATTCACCTTTTATTTCTCCTTCCTTCTCCTCATTTTGGGCATCTGGGAGAATACATTTTTTGGATGGTATAGCCATGGTAGAGAGAGCCTCTCAATAACAGTTATCCACCTCTCAGCCCCCATGTGTTGTCACAGTTTTATGTATTTAGTGTGGGCACACAGTGAATGTTTGCCAGGCTATGGCTGTCAGCAGTGTAGGAGGACAGGACTGGTGGGCCAGTCCCAGCCATTCACATAAGGAGCACAAGTTATAAATATGTCTAGATCCAGTAGGAGTGAGGCATCAGCATTTTTGAGAAACTATTCCAAGGGGGCACTCAGTATTTTGTTCTGGCCTCATACACCAAATTAAATTATGGATGTTTCTTCTGAATGTGAGTTGGAAATACTAGTGCTTTTGCTTCTGAGTTTTATGAGTTTCAGTGTGAAACATGATCCCAGGATCGTGTTCTGGGATCATATTCTTACTTCAACTTAGAAATGAAATAAAAAGAGAGAGAGAGTAATATGGAAGTCTTTTCCGTTTTCCCAAGTTTACCGGAATGAAACACAGACAATAAAGCAGAGCTTACTACATTATGCTTGGAAGTAAATGTTAACAAAAACCAGATGGTAATGAAGATGAAAATGCTTTACTTATCCAGAGGAAGTCATTTCTCTTTGTGAATTTATATAATCTGATAGGGAAGCATTTTATAATTGGAATTGTAGTAGTGTACAGAGTGAGAATACAAGTGATGCAAGTGTACAGAATTCATACTGAGCAAGTTGCAGCTCAGCAATGAATCAGATGCTTCCACCTTGCAAGTTTTCCATTGCTTACTCAGGAGTTTATGTCACAGAGGAATTTGTTCAGATCTGTTGTGACTTGTTACCTCCATTTCTGAGCATAGGCTTCTTAAGAGTACTTTACGCTTGCACTCGCCTGAAACCATGGCATTGCTGTCTGATCAAGCTCTAACCCTACTGTAGGATGAAGGATCTGGTGGAGGCAAGTTGAATTGTCCCAGCTGTGGCTATCCTAGATCAGTTTACAGTCAGCCAAGCCCCAGATTTGTGAGAGACCCCCAACGTAGATTAGCAGAGCTGATCACAGACACATGAGGTAACTCGGGTAGGACAAAACCATCCCCCCAACTGGTAGACACATAAACAGTCACATATATTTGCTGTTGCTTTTTCTTTAACTTTTAAAAACTTTATCTATTTTTTTGAAATACAGTTGATACACAATGTTGTGTTAGTTTCTGATGTACATCAAAGTGATTCAGTTATACATGTATGTGTGTGTATATATATATATTTATGCTTTTTTTTCAGATTCTTTTCTGGTACAGTTTATCACAAGATATTAAAATGATTTCCTATGCTATATAGTAGGAACTTGTTGTTTATCTGACTTTTATGTAATAGTTTGTATCTGCTAATCCGAAACTCCCAATTTATCCCTCCTTATCCTCCCCTTTCCCCTTTTTGTAATCATACCTTTGTTTTCCACATCTGTGAGCCTCTTTTTTTTTTTTTTAATTTTTTAAATTAAATTTGGCTGCACCTCACTGGGGTCTTTAGTCACAGCATGTGAGATCTAGTTCCCTGACTGGGAATGGAACCTGGGCCCCCTGCATTGGGAGCACTGAGTCTTAGCCACTGGACCACCAAGGAAGTCCCTGTTTCCATTTTGTAAATAAGTTCTTTTGTATCATTTTTAGATTCCACATCTAAGGAACATCATATGATATTTGTCTTTCTCTGTATGATTTAGTTGACCTAGTATAATAATCTCTAGATCTGTCCATGTTATTAATACTGCAAATGGCATTATTTTGTTCTTTTTTAATGGCTGAGTCATATTCCATTGCGGAGAAGGCAATGGCAACCCATTCCAGTACTCTTGCCTGGAAAATCCCATGGATAGAGGAGCCTGGTAGGCTGCAGTCCATGGGGTCGGGACGAGTCAGACACAAC